TTAGAGAGAGTGTGTGTGTGTGTGTGTGTGTGTGTGTGTGTGTGTGTGTGTGTGTGTGTGTGTGAAAATAGGGTTTGGTTTTTTCTTTAATCATGACTAATTTCAGAAAAAATGTGATTAATTAGTTAATTATTTTAAATTGATTGACAGCACTAATAATTATACATGTATAATGTAGTGCTGGGGAAGTTACTTTTAAAAGTAATGCATTACAATATTGCGTTACTCTCTAAAATTTGAACTAATTACATTACTTAGTTACTTTTTATGGAAAGTAATGTGTTGCATTACTTTTGCATTACCTTTAAAATCTGATCAGGGCTTGCTTGTTTGTTTTTAATAGAAAAAGTTGGTAACACTTTAGTATAGGGACCAATTCTCACTATTAACTTACTATTACTATTACTAACATATTGGCTGTTTATTAGTACTTAGAAAGCACATATTCTACATGACCATATTTTACATCCCTAACCCTACCCAATACCTAAACTTAACAACTACCTTACTAACTATTAATAAGCAGCAAATTAGTAGTTTACTGAAGCAAAAGTCGTTGTTAATGGTTTGTTTATAGCGAGAATTGGACCTTAAAATAAAGTGTGACCAAAGCATTCTATTTTTAGCAAACGTAAAGGCCTTTTCACACCATACGTGAAATGAATAAGCTTTGGGCTGAAGAAAATGTACATTCACGTCTATATAGTAGAACGCAGCAGAAGAAAGTTCAACACTTCAGTGATTAAAAAAAAAATGAAGCACAAATGTTAGTCTGATTACGTAACTCGCATTACTTGTAATTGCGTTACCCCCAACACTGATTCATATCTCAGGCTTTACAGGGTTAAGTGTTTTAAAGGTACATGCCTTTTGAATATCAATCTATTTCTAATTCCAATAATACACGCTGCCTCAAAACATTGAAACGTTAGGCAAAAATGCACATGGTAAGAATAAATCATTCTATTGTGGAAGAGTAACTCAATATAGAGCAAGTACAGCATAGCGTCCTAAAGATGGCAGCATAAGCCTTATTAGACCTACTGGAGCAGGACAGGCATAAGGTCAAATGGACTGTATTTAGCAGCAAATCCGGAACAAATCTGTTCTTGTGGTATGACACACATGGAGAAGTGCACTGAAAAGCAAACAGATGAAAAGCACATGTAAGGCCACTAATAATTTCAGTGAGTTGATTTTTAGATTTGATGTGCTTAAGATAAGCCTTAAAGTCAACATGAAATCAAAATGGATTGTATTTACTTTTTTTATTATGCACACTCCTGATCTTATTGTCAAGATTGCATGTTATTCTAAAGAAATAACGGTGTCTTTGTATTCTTTTGTCCAAATATATTACATTGCTTTGCATCTAAAATTACTTTCCTTTTCCGCTGACATCCGCAAGCCCTCATCATGATGGATTTGTTTCTTACAAACATGAAGCTTTTCACTTCTCAAGATGTTAACTGATGGACTGGAGTGGTGTGGATTACTTGTGGATTATTGTGGTGTTTTTATCAGCTGTTTGGACTCTCATTCTGACGGCACCCATTCACTTCCATTGGTGAGCAAGTGATGTAATGCTACATTTCTCCAAATCTGATGAAGAAACAAACTCATCTAAATCTTGGATGGCTTGAGGCTGAGTAAATATTCAGCAAATTTTCCTTTTGGGGGGAACTACTTCTTTATAATGCGGCGGCCCCGTCAAGAGTTTCCAATCAATCTTTTTTTATACTTTGTCCAAATATCTCTTGGACTGATCTGGGCTCCGTTCCACTCATCTCAGATTCATGGCCTCCACACGCGTAATGAACCTGAGCTTGTGTGCGGGTGTGGATGTAGGTGTTGGTTTTGACCACTGTCTGGTCTTCCAGGATTCCAGCTCGGTGTGGTTTAGGGCACCCTGGATCTCCGTCGCGAGAGCTGGTGATTCGCCCCGCGCTTATGTTTCGGGGATATAGCTGATTTATGGCAACGGTGCCCAAAACCACACAGATTTTAACGCTTAATCTTCAGTTAAAGCTTTCCAAGAGAGGTCTGCCAGTGAAAAGCAGAGAGTGAAACTTTGAAAATGTTGAGCTCTTAAGAAACACCCTTTCTGTCTTTATTGTATTTCATTTATACAGAAAACAGTCCTCCGGCCAAGCACCACATAAAAGTGTCTTTTAAAGCATAACAGTGGTGCCCTCAGGAAAGGGATCTGAGAGAAACTAAGCAATTATCAACATCGGGGTGTATAAAAGTGGTTTTGAAAAAGGAATGCAGTGTAAACTGTAGCAGGGTGATGACATGTTCAAACGTATAAACTGTCCAAGTGTGTACGTTTTCCAAATCCAACAATCTTCGAATTATGTTTACTGTACATTTTTGTTTAATGATGGAATATGAGAATGCTTATGCATTGTGAATGTTAAAGTAACAAGTAAGGCAGTCATATGTTAAGATTCGTGCATGTCTGTTTAATGTCAACATGTTATAAGGTTACAGTGATCAAAATATGATTATATTGGAATG